GCCTCATCATCTTGGGACTGAAAAGTGTTCCGTTTGTAATTGAAATTCAGGGCTTGATGTGAAGATTGTCTTAGGTAGGCCTAAGGTGAATTGCTCTGTTCATTGCAAACTGCTCTTTGGTGAACGCTGCATGGGCACACAAGGTCTGAACTTCATATAACAAAAATGCATGCTTCTCTGAACGTAATTCATCTGATATTCATCTGCGCTGAGAGATTCCTCCCTATAGTGTCGGCTGCTGGCTAGCTGCGTGGTCTTTGGCGGTCAGATGAGGGGCGTCAGCTAGCCGTGTGGTCTTTGGCGGTCAGATGAGGGACGTCAGCTATCTATGTGGTCTTTGGTGGTCAGATGAGGGGCGTCACTAGCTGTGCGGTCTTTGGCGATCAGATGAGGGGTGTCACTAGCTGCGTGGTCTTTGGCGGTCAGATGAGGGGCGTCACTAGCTGCGTGGTCTTTGGCGGTCAGATGAGGGGCGTCACTAGCTGTGCGGTCTTTTGCAGTCAGGTGAGGGGCGTCAGCTATCTACACAGTCTTTGGCGGTCAGGTGAGGGGCGTCGGATTATCTACGCAGTCTTTTACGGTCAGGTGAGGGGCGTCGGCTAGCCACGCGGTCAAGTGAGAGGCGTCATTTAATCATGTGGTCTAGGTCGATTTGAATGGTTTGGTGGCTATATGTGTGCTGCTTTGGTTGGCTGTTGAAAGCCTTCTCTATGTTCCATAACACGTCTGCCGTTGATTTAAGCCGGATCCTGCCTCCCCCACCAAGAAATGTTTGTGAGGCACCTGACCCAGCTGAGGTGGGCGTGGTGCTGAGTGTAGCTAGGTGGGGGGTGGGGGTGGGGGGTGATGTCAGCTCCCTGGGAGGGTTTCAGTGCTGAAGGGGCCTGAAGTTACTGATGCGTGACAGTCAAATGCAGAGCATGAAATTTACTGTGGCTGAGAGCTAAATTGCCACTGTTCAGTCTCCCTCTCTCTCTCTTTCTCTCTCCATTCTCACGTTTGACATTCAGCCCTTCGCTCGTGTTCCGTTTCCCGTTTCCATTGTGATGGGAGGTTGGCATTGCCATAAAAATGGGTTATATATCTGAGGCCGCTTTTTAAGCCTCCCCGAAGAAAACGGCCTTGAACAGAATTCATTCGGCACTAAATGCGATTGTTAATGGACGTGTGGTGGAAGCCGGGCGGCTTGGGGTCGAAGAGATGTCATTAACCCTGTGACCTAATATTAGTTTTTATAATCTGCCTCTGAAGGCTGCTGGACTCCTTGGAACCCTCCTGCCTTCTCCGTGAGTGTTAACCGGAAAGTTCTCGTGCTCAGTTACGGAGCTGCTGGAGGATCCGGCCCAGGTGATGAAGGCCCGCCTCAGCCCTGCGCCTGAGACACCGTTTGCTGTCCATTCCTGTCAGAGGGAAAATTTCAGTGGTCCAGCCAGATCAGGGCAGGTTTATTCCCTGAGCTCCGGACATGACTGACTGTGATTGTGTCAGACGTCTCTGCTCCCCTTACGGCCAAGCTGGCCGTTTTGCCGCAGATTTTAGGTTTGTGTTATGCCGATTGTTATGTTTTGTGTGTTTTTGGCGTTTGTGGTGATTCTTTTTGTCTTATCCTCCCTGCACCACATGGCTTTCTGATAAGACTCCAGTATCTTCTCTGCTGCAGAAGGTCACAAGCTGGGATTATTAAAGCTACTGTTTACAGTCCTCCCATTTGTATAGCAACATGGTATGCTCCACTCTGCCCCATTTGTATGGTCTGCTCCCCCGCTCATGCACGTCATCATGGTACACCCCTCCCCTATTACTATCTCTCACCATGGTACTTTCCATTGGTGTTGGCTTGCATCTCCTTTAGGAAGCCAGTGTGATGTGTGACCCTGTCATCTTTTAACTTCTAACCATACCCATGCGTAGTCCTTGGTTGAGACTTGAGCCGTGTTCAGCATTAGCACAGACCCCCCTCCACTGAGCGCGCTCGGTCCCCGAGTCCTCCGGGGCACATGGGTCTGATCCTGAGCGGCCGTGCCCAGGGCGTTCGCCTCTAATGGCCGGCTTGTCCCCATGGGCAGTTCTCTTCACCCACTGTCAGGCAGGTGTACCTCCCCTCTCTCCTGCCAGGTGGCTCTCGGCCAAACGCGGGCGGTCAGAACAGATCAGCGTGCAGTCCGATCTGGCTGGGGATTAGGCGAGGAGCTCCATACAAGGCCCGTGGTACCTTTCCGGAACTGAGAATGACGTCCGAATGTCAGTGTGTTTGCGTACGTGACATGTTGCCGAAGAAGGCTTCATGGAACTCTGTCGATCTTCATGCTCAGCGTTTCCCAGGAATCCTTGCTTGTGGACATAATTGCTTATGAACGTTAAAATGTGCTTATTAGGAAGGCGTGTCGGGGAGCTTATTGCAGTGTCCTGATGATCCCAGACAGGCTTGTCACTCCGACAAGAGAATGCCAGGGGGACTGGAATGTAATGATGTTATTGTGGGACAGCCCCTGAGAGCGGCATGTGTGAATTCCTCGCTCGTGCTCACCTGGGAATCCATGGGCGTTTGGTGGTATGTCATTAGCACTACAGCGAGGTGTGATTGCTGGCGAGTGACCACGGAGGGTTCATCTCTGTGTGAGAGGGGACCTCCTATTAGAGTTCTGTTCAATTTTTCATACCATCCAACTGTGCAGACATTATACCGTGGTATATGGTATTTTAATGATATTTTCAAAATCAGTGCTATTCTGGTATTTAGAAATCCTGGTGGTCTTTTGGAATTGGCACGTAGAACAAAAAAATGTATGTTGCGGACAGGAAACAGGAGCCCAACGAACACAATTTGGATTTACAGGTCTCTTGGTTCGTATATCTGAAAGTTCGTAAGTTGAAAGCTCGTAAGTAGAGGAGTATCTGTATACCCAAAATATTGCAGTTTACCCTATTATTGTGGATGTCTCATTTGAAAATGGCTGCACAGAAGCACAGCGGGTGGGGAGGCTGCAGCTGAGAAGTGTCGCCTCACTCCAGTGAGCCCAGCATTCACGTCCGGTGCACGAGCAGTCCACAGATTGAGCAGCTTCATTTGAGCTTATCTCTTAGGAATCCTACCCTGCCTGCACAGTTGGCTCGTGGGAGTTTTTCTTACGCTGAAATGTTCTATGGGCAGAATGAAAAATGATTGGTTCAGAGAGAGAACCAATCAGAATGTAGAGGAGGTGGGTCCAAGCATATAGTGGAGGCGGGACCAAGACATCTGGTTGGTTGGTCCCACCTCCTTTAGTTGCAGTCTGTTTGGTTACTGTACAGTCTAATTGGTTCAGAGAAATAACCAATCATTTTTCGTTCTGCCCTCAGAACAAAGAGAGGTGTAAGTAAAACTTCCAATAGCACTGAAGCGAAACCCAGTAAAAGCTCTGCTCAGAATGATGTCATGGATGCATGATTATGGACCCTTGCTCACGACTGCAGCTTCTACATATTACAAGAAGACGTTACATGAATAAACACTGAATTTAAAAAAAATATCTGAATTTATTGTTCGGTTTTCACTCCTCAATCGTGCTTTGTCCTAGCTGCTATGCTCTGCCAGAACACGTGTGTGTGAAACTACAATAAAATGACGTGACCTGAAGAGCTGTGAAACACTGTTATGGGCAGCAATGAGGCCCCCCTGTGTCAGCACTCATTTAAACAAGTGGGAAAAGTACTGTGCTTATTTTAACACTGCCGCTTTCATGGTTTCGGGCTGAAGCAGGAAATCAAGGACCTTCCTCCTGGTCGTGGTTAAGCTCGTGAGCAGTTTGCTGTTGGCGTAATTGATTTTCTTTACGCTATCAAAAGGTAATTGGATGTAATGAGATGGACAGCAGTCCTTGCATTGTTCATCGCCAAGCCTGCAAACTGACGCTTCTATTGGCACAGCTCTCTTTCTCGACCAGGGTGACCATGCAAACTGGTAGAGGCCGATTGACGGGACGCTGGTATTACAGGGCAGGTGCAGGATGTTCATCTACCGTAATAACCAGGGCAAGGCACATTTTTGCTAAGCTCCCTGACAATCATGCCTGCCTGTATTTTTCTGTTGTAGTTGCAGCTATGCAGTGTCCTGTGGATGATCTCAGTTCTGCGTTCTCAGTAATTGGAAGCATGGTTTCAGCGATGCATTTTTCTCTGGCTCACAGACCATGAAATGACTGTAATCAATGCAGACACCACTGAAAGTCAGCTAAATGATGAATTGTGGTAAAATGGGACACTCCGTAAGCCAGTGTCATGATGAATGTACCCCTCACTTACGACGGTAACTGTAAACTTCACTGCTCCGTGATCGGCGTGACGCTGCTCGACAAGGCGCTGACTTCTCCATCATACCCCGGAGTCCGTGGAAGCAGTGAGATATACAGCTCTGCACTGTAATTTGGGATGACCTCTGTCAGCCAGTAGTAAAACAGTGGTTTTTAACTCCAGTCTTCCGTACCCACTGTTGGCTAATTGAGAGGTCATCCCAGAATCCCACATCCACACCGGCCCTCCATGGAACAGGTTCCCGATCCCTGGTCTAACCTCTGCTGAGGCCTCCATCTGCAGAAGGGCTTTTAGGTGACCGAGCAGGACTGCATGACACAGGCAGACAGAGTCTAGTTACCTGCAAGTAGCTAAAAACAGGTCGAAAGTGAATTGGTCTCTTTTAATTGGCTAACAGCTGGGTGGCTACCAGGCCTCATAAATTGATTGGACGGGATCTGCATCTACATCTGTGCGCTGGGTCCACAGGAGCGCTGCTCTGACTCAGGGCTTTTTGTTTTGGTTTTTTTTTTTTTTTTTGAACTGGGGCTGCTATTACAGCATTTGACCACTAGGCAACAGTGTCTGTCAGGACATGCGATTAAGTGGATAATGAGAGAGTACGGGTACCTTTCCCCATCCTTCGACGTACGCTGATCTGCTGGCCGGGCCCGGCGCTGACGTGAAGGTCCAGCCTCGTGACCTGACCCGCTGCCCTCTTCGCCACGCAGGTGCACCGGCGCTCGGCAGAACGCCTCAGAGACCTGTGCTGTGCCAACAGGGGCACCTTCATAAAGGTGGGCCAGCACCTGGGCGCCCTGGACTACCTGCTCCCGGAGGAGTACACCAGCGTCCTGAGAGAGCTGCACAGTCGCTCCCCGCAGAGTTCCATCGCCGAGGTCCAGCAGGTCATCCGGGAGGACCTGGGCAAGGAGGTACAGCAAGCGTGCGCCAGCGCAAGCCTGTCTAATGTACAGATGGCTGTGCTTGCACCCACGCACATACATGGGTGTAACACACCGTTTGTGGCTATATTGGGGGGGGCGGTTACCGGCTGTGGCTCTGCTGGGGAGGGGAGGCTGTAAGCTTAGTCACCCTCTGGCTGGCCTCCATACTAGTGCATACTGATGGGATCAGAGGTCAAGGGTCAGAAGGGCGTGTCAGAGAGCTGGGGTGGGGGGGAGCATCACTGCATGATGAGGCTTTTTACTCCTTGTCTGCTTGGGTCCCGGATTTCAGCCAATAACTGTTTCCAAAGGTTAACCTCAACAAGGGGAAGTTTTCACACTTTGCTGGGTGTGCTTGTTCAGGAGCAGTTTGTCGCCATCTGTGTGTTGTGTTTTATCTATTCTTTATAAATAGCTTGGTGGTTCCTTCATCATGGACAGGGCAGAACCTCCCCGCACCAAGGGACGGACGGACAGGCAGGCAGGGAGACAGGAAGATGGACAGACAGGCAGAAAGATGACAGACAGGAAGATAGTCAGACAAGCGAGAAGGCAGGCAGGGAGAGGGACAAACAGGGAGGCTTTCACTCAGGCTGCTCGCTTTTTCAGGTACTTTGTACATTACAAAACGATAAGTTTGGCTCTTAGTAGCAGAAGAGGCCACTAGACCGGCCCACAGGGATGTAAGTGGCAGTGTGCGGATCCTTGCTGATCTGTGAGGTTGTTCACGTCATGCTTGTACTGTGGACCATATTGTGCCTCATGGATTTCCATCCTTTCGCATCTGTTTGTTTCTCTGAAGCCAATCCGACGTTTTCTGTATTTGTTTGCTGTGGGACCCCTGCGGGTTCGTGTCCCTTGGTTCAGCTGTGTGTCCTTCCCAGATGTTGCGTTCAGTGACACAGCTGGACAGCGGATTGGTGCCAGGGTCTATGGTGCGCTGGCTTAACAACGTGCCAGGCGCCTGCCGTCCCGGGGAATGTCGCTCAGCAACCCCACACACACACACACACGCTAACCCCACTTAGGGTTGAGGTTTGAGTTGTGGGTTTTATCAGGAAGTGATGTTGTCAGAGTGCAGTGTGATGTCAGCGTAATAAACATTCACTTTCTGCCGTTAAATCCCTCGGCCCCCGAGCACAGCCCGCACTGCCTATTTATAGATGCTTCCATCTTCTTCCAGGCCCTCATCCCCTCCTCTCAGCTTCTTTTTAAATAAACGAAAGCTTTGCAGCCTCTGTGTGAGGCGTCCTTCAGGAAAGGACACGTCATCCCCAGCGCTTGACTGCAATGAGAGCTCCTGCTGCTGGATGGGGAGGAGCCAGGGCCACCAGTGTGATCCCAGCGTGGCCCCCAGGGGCCGGCGGGGGCCTCATCCTGACAGGTCGCCCTGTCCGGGACGCCGGTCGGAACAGGAACGTAGGTGTGCGCGTGTTAAATGGCCGTGAGAGCTGCCGTATGTGGGGATCCCTCTGCCAGCCTCCCCAGAGGTCAGCCAGGTGTGGGGGGGGGGGGGGGGGTGCCTGTCAGACTGATGGAGGGTGACTCCCATCAAATGTGTCACTGTGGAGCTGGGGTTGCCGCGTTCCCGGCGCCATGGCAACCAGCTGCATGTACGAGCGCACTCAATTTCCCGGATGCCGAGCGTGATGCGTGTCGGCGCACGGGCCAGTTTTCTCATTTTCAGCTCCGGTGGCTGCCGTGTGGGGGGAGGCGAGGTGCCCGCGACGTATCTCTCTCTCGGCCTGCTGCTGGAGGGCTGCCGCTTGGCCTGTTGGGAAAAGGGCCCTTCTGGGCTGTGCTTTGTCATCATCTGGGGTGGGGGTGGGGGTGAGGGGTGAAGCTCCAAAGGGTATAGGCCAGACCCAGAAGCCCAGCAAGCTTTTTGAAGAATGGGCTCATCTCCCCTGGATCCAGGCAGGTGTCGGTCTCTGGGGCAACTGGCAGAAAGCGTGGCCAGGAATCTTCCTCCAGAGTGTGCGCTGTTCTCGCTAGATGTGGGGAAGTGGAGGTGAGGGGTGGGGCAGCAGACCAGCCTGGTGCCAGACAGGAGACCCCCCTGGCTGAGTCATGAGTCAGAACTGGCACCGAAACCCCTACTCTCCCAGGACACCCCTTCATAACCCCGTACCTCCAGGCTTGAGGATTCTGCTGCTCATCAGACAGAGAGCTCTGGGTTCGATGAAGGTAAAGCTCCGAGCCAGTCCAACTTCCCGTTCATGACAGTGTAACGGCCTGGACATGTGTGTTTACTGTGCAGGCTTATTGTCCCCAACGAAAACTATAAGACAACATTCTCGTAAACTGAAATATAGTAAGGAACGAAAATAACATTTGAAAAACTAAACGAAAATGATAAGTATTGCTTCCAAACCTACCTGAAAGAAAATGAAAACAAGTGGCAAATACTTTCTGTATTTAGCTAAAGTATTGATGCGTCTGTCTTTACCATTTACCATTAATAATACCTGGAATGTGTTTTGCCAATTTTGAGGACATTAGTAGCTAAAGTGCATTTATGTAGGATTGTCTAAAGATCAGACAAATTGAACTTTCAGTCTATTCCCTGAAATAAAATAACGAAAACATTAACTTAAAATGTATAAAAACTAAATCAATTTCTAGGCAGTTTTTATAGCTGTGTTAGGGTGTCACACCCAGTAGGTTGGCCTGTGTTGGTGCTGTGTTAGGGTGTGAAGCCCTGTAAGCTGGCCTGTGTGAGTACTGTGTTAGGGTGTGTTGCCCTGTAGGCTGGCCTGTGTGAGTGCTGTGTTAGGGTGTGTTGCCCTGTAGGCTGACCTGTGTATGTGCTGTGTTAGGGTGTGTTGCCCTGTAGGCTGGCCTGTGTGAGTGCTGTGTTAGGGTTTGATGCCCTGTAGGCTGGCCTGTGTATGTGCTGTGTTAGGGTGTGTGGTAGCTGCTCTCACTTTCTTTCGCTTCCCATCTCTCAGCACAGCAGAGAAGGAAGTCGTTTGAAAGAAAGCATGTGTACTAACATATGCCTCCCTGTGGTGTCGATCTGGCCTGCGCTCACTGAGCACTCAGTCAAGCTGCTGCTGGCGTTCCCGCGGACCACACCGCCTGCTTGGGGCAGCCGTCAAGATAAACTGCTAATCAAGGGGCTAATAAATAATAAATTCTGCATACATCAGTGCATAATGGGCCGCGTTAGCTGTGGCTGCTCACAGTGTGCCATGTGCTCAAGTGTATAATTTATTAATTACTGACATTTAACCCCTCATATCCTTTTATCTCTGGTTTGCATTTTACAGCCAAAATGACAGATTTCAGATGTTTTACTGGTTTTGTGCAGCTAACCCATTCAGTCCACACTCGTTAAAAAAGAACAACAGTTTATAAATGAATGGACAATAAGGGAACAGCAGTGCTCTGAAACACCTGAAACACTCAGATGTTACCATCCACTTGTGGTGTGAGGAGAATGTATTTGTAGAATAACTGTTACTGTATTTCCCAAATGGGGAATACATATGGTTTTGGAACATGTCCGCCACCACAGTCACATTCTCGTTACTGCAATAACTCCAAAAGTATTTGACAGACAAATTTTATAAATATTAAAGCAGCGCCACTTTGTGGCTGCAGAAAATGCTTAACTTTCTGAATATCATAACTAAAAAAGGATTTAATGGATCTTATTACCACATCACAAAAACATTATATGGGTTAAGACCTACAGCTGATTTAATTTCAAGACAAATTGCAACAAAATTGAAACAGCAGTACTATGTGGCAGCAAAGGAAGAAAAGTGCAGCTGCAGAAGACACTTCATCTTGTGAACTCAGTGTCTGGATGGATCTTCCCAGGAACATTGTATAGGTGATGAACTGGGTCTGGGATAAATCACACCAAACCTGAAGCAGTATCATGTGGTGGCACATGAAAGGACAGCCATAGATGTTGATATGCAGAAATATTTTTGGAGAGAGTATGTAGGGGGCTAGAGATTGTGGATGTTGGGGTATGGGAGGAGTAGGGGTTAGGTAGTTGGTTTGGTCTGGCGGTTACCAGCTTGATGCTGTGCATCCTCCTACCAGCTATTCCAGGCCTGAGAACAGCCTGATTTACTGTGAGCTTTGTTGCCGAAGATGGGGCTGTGATCTTCTGGGCCAACCTCACAGCCCTCCGTATGGCTCCACCACATCATACCATGACACCGCTGCTGAGGTCACTGTCAGACAGATGTGCAGTAGGACTCCCCGAGTGTGGCCTTGCTCGTCCCTTCTTTCCTTTGTTGACTTGGTCGGCAGAGTCGTTTCACCGTTGGGTTCTTGAGTGAGGCCCTTAATCCCGATTACTCCAGGGACTGGTTATCCCTGCTTTTTTCAATTACGTGTTACTTCAGATAAAAGGCTCTGCTAAGTAAATATTTGTGAAGTGAAGGCTCCGGCAGGCTCCGGTGAGGATTGGTCTCTGCCCACGTTGGTCCATCTCAGATCTGCAGCCTTGAGGAGCTTGAAGTTGCTGATGGTTTTACCTGGAGAGCCATCTGTGGTGGTGACTGCTGCTGCCCCCCCCCTTGAAGTTCTGCATAATGTACTGGTTTATTGATGCTCTGTGTGGGTCTGTTGTGACATCACTTCATCAGCTCCTGGAAGTGGATTCCTTATTACAGGCGAGATGTAGGGTTGCAAAATTCTAGGAATATTCTTGTTAATTCCCATACTTTCCCGTTAATTCCCATGGAAAGTTTCTAATGTGGAATATTTCCAAAATTCCCCAGCTTAACTTCCCATGGAACGGAAAGTTTCAGGAAAATTTCCAGAAATTTTTTTGGAGAGAGTATGTAGCGGGCTAGAGAAAATTCCAGAAATTTTCCAGCCCTTTGCAACCCTAGCGAGATGTTCCTCCAAGGATGGTGTTCAAGGGCCAGAGAGCGACAGCGTCACCCGCTGCACTGTTGCTCTGGCGTATGAACTTTAGGGAGAGTCTGGTACAAGGCTGTGCCTCATTAGCAGTTGACCTGGCTTGATTCATTGCACCTCCATGGCTTTTTGATGAAAGGACGATGGCTGGCAGGAGTAGCAGTATTCGGGATCGACTTTGATGCATAGGATCTTAAATGGTGCAGATTTATTAAGGCAAAAAGATAACATTGAATCTTTAAAGTACTAATCTGTTTTTATGTGGATTATGAGCTGTCCAGCTGGGTCTGTTTTCCCGTTCATAGAGTTCACACTGCCTGCTTTACAGCCAGTGTGCTCCGTGATTTACATCCCAAACAGGAGCGCGGCCTCGACGGGCGGGGGGGATCGCCAGTCAGACCCCTTCCTCGAGGTCAGAGACATTTCCCATTTCTTCACACACTTTCACATTTCACGGACCTGTTGGTCTGTAAGCCTTTCATTTACCTTATAGCCTGATCTGCTTTCTCTGAAGAACAAACAGATGTGAAAAGGCAGGAGGTGCAGGACTCATAGCTTGATATCCATATAGCGTTTCCACGCCGTGTTGGAGGGTGGGTCACGACCACATTCAAGCCATGACTCCTCTGGGATTACTGTATCAGCCAGGAGTAGTTATGGGTTTTCTTTGGCTGTTACAATAACCCCCCTCCTCTGTTTCTGTCTGGCTGTCTTGTGGCAGT